TTCCACCTGTTCTTTACACCCTTTTTCCTCTTAGTCTGCTTTTTTTTTTTTTTTTAATTGGGAATTACTATATGATTCTACTTTATCTCCTTGGTTTGCCTATTAGCTGTCATTTTTTGATTTGCTATTTATTTTATTATTTAGAGACAGGGTCTTGCTCTGTTACCCAGGCTAGAGTACAATGGTGCAGGCACAGCTCACTGTAACTTCGAACCCCTGGATTGAAAAAACCCTCCCACCTCAGCTTCCCTAGTAGCTAAGACTACAGGCTAATTAATCTTTTTTTTTTTTTTTGAGATGGGGTCTTGCTGTGTTGCCCAGGCTGGTCTCAAACTCCTGGGCTCAAAGGATCCTCCACCTCAGCTTCCCAAAGTGCTGGGATCACAGGTGTCAGCTGCTGTCCCTGGTCCTCAATTTGTTATTTTAATAGTTGTTTTGGGCCAGGAGCGGTGGCTCACACCTGTCCCAGCACTTTGGGAGGCCAAGGCAGGTGGGTCACCTGAGGTCAGGAGCTCGAGACCAGCCTGGCCAACATGGTGAAACCCTGTCTTACTAAAAATGCAAATATTAGCTGGGTGTGGTGGCAGGTGCCTGTAATCTCAGATACTTGGGAGGCTGAGGCAGGAGAATCGCTTGAACCTGGGGGGCGCCCACAATTGCTTGTGCCGCTTCACACTCCCACCTGGGTGACAGAGCAAGACTCTGTCTCCAAAAAAAAAAAAAAAAGTCATTTTAGGGTTAATAGTATATATCTTTAACTTACCACAGTCTTCCTCCAAGTGCTATTATACTTCTTCATGTATAGTATTCTAGAACCTACAATAGTATACTTCCATTTCTCTGGCCTTTGTACTATTGTCGCACATTTTAATTTACATATATTATTAACCCCTTGCTACTTCGTCTTTAACTTAAAAGTCAATTGTCTTTTAAAGAGATTCATATAAGATATGAAAAAAAACCTTTCAGTTCCCATTTTTAAAACTGTTCTTTCTTTTGAGTAGACACATAGTTTCTTTTGGCATCATTTTCTTTTTCCCTGAAAGACTTCCTTTAACATTTCTTTTAGTGAAGGTCTATGAATGATGATTTTTTTCTGTTTTTGTGTGTCCAACAAAATGTTTATTTTACTTAAGTTTTTGAAAGATATTTTCTCTGGGTATGTAAGTCTATGTTGGAAGTTTTTTCTTCTTTTAGAACTTTAAAAATGGGCTGGGCACAGTGGTTCTTGCCTGTAATCACAGCACTTTTGGAGGCCAAGGTTGGTGGATTGCTTGAGCTTAGGAGTTTGAGACCAGCCTGGGCAATATGGCAAAACCTCATCTCTACAAAAAATATAGAACTTGGCCAGGTGTGGTGGCATACACCTGTAGTCCCAGCTACTTGGGAGGTGAGGTGGGAGGACTGCTTGAGGCCAGGAGGCAGAGGTTGCAGTCAGTTGAGATCACACCACTGCACTCTATCCTGGGCGACTGAGTGAGGCCCTGTCACAAAAAAAAAAAAAAAAAGCTTTAAAAATGTTGTTCTGTGGACATCGAATCCATCTGCCACTCCACTAATTTGTCTGTGTCTAATAAATCTAATCTACCCACTGATTTTTTATTTCAATGACTATATTTTTCCTATCCAAAAGTTCTATTTGGTTCTCTTAAAAAATCTCCTTGTTTTTTCCATAATCATTTTATTTCCTTGTTGTTTCTGAAACTTTTTTCTTCAATCATTTAACATACTGTGTTATGGCTTCTTTCGCTTTGCTGATTATTATCTAAGATTCTTGGTACTCTAATCATCCTGTTTGTGATATCTGCTAATATTTACTCATAGTAGATTGATTGCTTGTTAGTTTTACAATTAAAAAAAAAAATGAAGAATTCATCTTAAGCAGTGCTTGTTTTTGTTGCAGGGCCTTTGTGCAATTTGTCTTACTGAAAAGAGCCCGCATTTGTTTCTAGAAAGTAACTGTGGTATCTTATTGGCCAAGGACCCACTTTATGTTAATTTCTTAACATGGAGTTCCAGCATGTTACAATCGGTTAAAATTTATATTCCAAACTCAAAAGTTTTCATTTCAGGTTTTGATTTATCAAGGTAAAATTCCATCCTTTATCCAGAGCTGGGGTCAGGAATAAATTTCCCTGTGGTCTTCAGGGCCAATTACTGGAAAGTCTTGTTCCTCTTTTTATGGGGTACAGTCCTTTATGAGATTCAGCCTTTTATGGAAATCTCAGTTCCAATTTTTCATCTCACTCAGGCCCTGGGCCTTATTTCTTGTCCCCAAGTGCATGTTCATACACAAGTATCTATCTCTTACTGGTTCTCCATCTCCCCAAGACAGCTGCAATGACAGATTGTATGTATATCACTCTGAGTTTTAGTTCTCTCTTTGGTTCTGGCTCATAGAAATTTTTTTATTTGTATCTCCCATGAGTCTAGTATTGTATTAAGAAGAATGACAAAACCAACAAGAAGTGTAATTTTAACATTATCTCCAGGTATATGTGGAGAATAGGTTTCCATAGTATTCTAGTTATCAATTTTTTTGTAATCCTCTGTAGATAAAATGAACTTATATGAAATATTAAGAGACTCAAAGAATAATGGCATATGAAGAGAAGTTTCTAGTGATATGCTCATTATACCTATACCTGTGAGGCCAATCATTATTTTAACAAAGACATAGGAAATGGCATGTTATGCTTATACATTTAAGAAAAACACAAAATTAAGCAGAAATTAATATATTTAATGACAACTGGGATTTCTAAGTATCTTGGTAAGTTGAGGTGATAGGCTAAATAAAATGAGATTGTGAATAACAGGATGTTAAGTGCAGCATTTAGTTTTTATTTTAAAAACAAAAATAAAAACAAGAAACAGCTTCAAAAGTACTGAAGATACAGCTTAAAAATAACTCAATACAATTTAAAATAACTAAAAGAGTATAATTGGATTGTTTGTAACATGAAGGATAAATACTTGAGGCAACAGATACCCCACCTACACTTATGTGATTATGCATTGCATGCCTGTATCAAAATGTCACATGTACCCCATAAATATATACACCTACTATCTACCCATAAAAATTAAAAATTAAAAAAAGAACTAAAACAACAACAACAACAATTCAAGTGAGAACTGTGGAGGAGCTTGAGTTGACTGCTCCACATGAGCCCACAGTGTAAAATGGCTGCCAGAAATTCACCCTATATAAGAACAGTGCTGAGGAAAAGAGAGAATATAATTTTGTACTTATCAGATTACATGCATGTATTAGTTACCTATTGCTGTGTAACAGAGTACCCCAAAACTTAGTGCCTTAAAACAGTAAATGTTAATTATCTCAGAGTCTGAAATATTGGTGCAGTTTAGCTGCATGCCTCTGTCATAAAGTCTCTCACAGGATGGAATCAAGGTGAGGAATGGAACTGTGGTCTCATCTGAAAGCTTGACGGGGGAGAATCTGCTTCCAAACTCTCTCACATAGTACTGGCTGGATTCAGTTCCTTGTGGGCTATTAAATTAGGATATCAGTTCCTTACTGGCTGTTGAGAAGGCCTCCCTCAGTTCCTCAGCACATGGGCTTCTCCACAGGGCAGCTCACAACATGGCAGCTGGCTTTCATCAGAGCAAGCACACAAAAGTGCAGAGTGGGCAAGCAAGGTGGAAGTTTTGGTATCTTTGTAACCTAATCTCAGAAGTGATATTCATCACTTGCCATATTCTAGGTCAAGCCCACACTGGAGGTACAGGGTAAATTCCAGGAGGCAATGATCATTAGGAACCATCTTAAAGGTTACCTACCACAAGGTATTGTATTTTTAAATGGTCCCAAAGGTACCAAATGATATCCCAAATATGTGATCAAGCCAATTAAAAAAATTTTTTGTTAAGTAATGTATTTTTAAAACTTGATAAAAAACAATTGTCCATATTTACAGAATACATGTAAAAACTGTTTTAAAGAATAAAGACTCACATAACGTAAAATAAAAATTAGAGATATAAAATATATAGCCTGGAAAAGAGAAGTGAGAGCAAAACACTGCAGATTGAAACAGGAGACAGAAGGGAAGGGGTAGAAACTTTCACTGTTGTTTTAAAATAATTGAAAGGTTGTCATGTGTAAGAGAGATTGTATTCAGTTTCTGTAGGTCCAACAGGCTAAGCAAACACCAATATCACTTATCACACAATGTTTTAATGGCCATCTGCATCCTCTCCATGATTATAAACTGCTTATACATAGATACTATACATGTCTGGTTCACTATTGCAATTCTGTTACCAGAACATAATAGACACTCAATAAATATTTGATGAATGATATGTGAGAAAATTAAAGAATAAAGAGAAATAAATTTTAGCCCCAAATCTTAAAGAACTTAATGCTTAGAATTTTCCAAAATCATAATGGTTCCTATGTCTCTGGCAGTACTAAAGGAGAGGCTGGATGATCATCCTCTCATTAAAGGCGAGTCAAGGGAATTCTCGTGACTCTAAGTGTTAATAACTTTCTGGTTCCACAATACTGTTAGTCTGAGTAAAGAAATCCCTTCCAAAAATTGTTGGCAGATGGCCTGTCAATGTTGAAGACATGATAAAACCACAATTCTTCCCCTTGGACAACACACTCTGAGCATTTTAAAACATTTAACCACATTAAAGATAAGTCCTATTAAGGTGGTTTTTTACTGGACCCACTTTCTAAACCTGCTGTACTGTTGAAAGGCAGCGTGTTATAGTAGGAAGACAAAGGCTGTGGGTTTGGGAGTCACACTGACCTGATATGGCTCTGCACTTAACTAGAACCCCAGGCAAGCCACCCAACCTCATTGGGCCTCAGTTACTTAATTAAAAAACAGGGATAACATTCACTCAAAAGGTTGCTCTGTTTTGTTTCCCTGATGATTGTAAAGTACGTATTCTCTTGTGGCAGTGAAAAGCACCAAGAAGTATTTTAGAATCTGGGTAATGAAGGTATTCCTCTCACACCCTACCTTGATAGTTTTTCACAGAAGTCATCTTGTTATAATCTTCTGACAATATAAACTCCTGTAAGAGAAAAGAAAAATATTAAACAAAAATAAATTCTTTAAGTGAAGGACTATATTTGGTAAAACCAGATTGAATAAAGCAAATTATCATGACAATTACATCTAACATTAGTATTTTGCCCATCAACTCAGAATTTTTGTATCCCTTTAAAAGTAACAATCATAATTATGATCCAATGCAGTTATCATAATTTTACCTTATAAGTGTTGACTTTTTGTGTATGCACGAGAAGAAAACCAGATCAAGTTGAGCATCTTGATATTGGTCAATTTTGAAGATAAACCTAATTCAAAATACTTTTCTTTCAAGGGTGCCAAAGCTAAAAATTTTCAAGGCTCTAACCAGTAAGGAAATGGATGGCAACTCTCTACTAAAAATAAATTAGGTATTTTAAAGATTCTTTTTCTAAGATTAGCAATTTATTTCCCCTTACTACAAGCGTCTCAAGGTTGCATCTTACTCATCTCTGTACCCCCAGGGAACCAGGCACAGTACCTCGGCACAGTAGGTAATTAATAAATAACGGTCACACAAAGACACTTCTCAATGTAATGAGATTAGCCTGAATGTCAAATTTACTGAAAATATCAGTTTCTATATCGCACATTATATATACCCTTTGTAGGGACACGTAAGTGTGTGCTGTTTCGCCCAAGCATCTGTGTATACAGTGACCCGTATGTAGAAGCTGATTGAGGGTTTATGAGATCCAGCCAGGTTTTGAGTCCTTAGGCTTCATTCAAATGAAAAATATCCAGGTATTCTTAAAGAGTATATTATGAAACATAAGGAAAGCTGCAAAGTATAATAAATTGATACCTTCATCTGAGTTTAGAAACAGGGCAATTAATCTTTTCAAAATATCTGGAAGCATCCAGGATTTTTCTTTGATAACTTTAAAAAGGGGGAATGGGAAGAAAGATGCCTAAATGCCTTACTTGCTATCTGGGTCTTCCTGAGTTTAGTAGTTTGTGTAATTTTTCAGAAGGAAATAATTATTTTATTGTTTTTGTGATAAATGTCACAAAGGTAAAGTAGGAGATGATGTGAGAGAACATACAAGGCAATAAAGTTACTTTGCTTATTCATTTTTCTATTCCAGCCCCCTTTAAGAAGCTTATCTACAAATGAATTTTCTTCATGATTTTCTCAGTAATAACATTATTCAACTTGTCACTTTAAAAATTCATATCATTATTTCTTCAAGGAGTGGCACTACATTCACTTCTTGTTTTGAAAGAGTTAGACCTACAACTGGACACAACAGACTAATTTTTTTTTCTTTTCTTTTTTTTTTTGATAGAGTCTTGCTCTGTTGCCTGGTTGGAGTGCAGTGGTGCAATCTTGGCTCACTGCAACCTCTGCCTCCCAGGTTCAAGTAATTCTCCTGCCTCAGCCTCCCTAGTAGCTGGGATTATAGGTGTATGCCACCAAGCCCGGCTAATTTTGGTATTTTTATTAGAGACGGGGTTTCACCATGTTGGCCAGGCTGGTCTTGAACTCCTGACCTCAGGTGATCCGCTCACCTCGGCCTCCTAAAGTGCTGGGATTATAGGTGTGCACCACCGTGCCCGGCCAGAGCAGACTAATTTTTAAAGAAGTAAAGTAGCTGGCCCATAAAGTGCTTATAGTGTAGGTAAGGAAACCCGGGAGGTGCCTAAGCCACAAGTCACTAGCAACTTTTAATCCCAGGCAACAGGACCTCAACCCTGACCCCCAACTTTACAGGGTCCCAAATATCGTGACACATACACAAATAAATTTATTAAAGACAATTGTTATCTGGCCAAATGTTTTCTGAATTCATATTGTTCATGCTATTTTGAATATACTGAAATGGTTCTCTGGCCTGGTCAAAAGATACCACAATTCCTTTCGAAACAACATAAGGTATAAAATAACACAACTTAATAGAGGTTTGCATTTAGGATTTAATATACACATTAAAAATAAAATTACCAGTTCAATGCATTGGTAAACCTAATTTCTGGGTCATTTATTTTTCCTATGATAATAAAAACATATAATTATGGAGAAAATGTAGATTTTGTGTCAGCTTTTGTTATTACTTTTTTGATCACAGAAACACAATATACTACTCTAAGAAATGTAAGAAAAATAAACACTAAAAATCCCTTGTGATACCATTTCTCAAACATAAGTATTATGGAAAGTACAGTTGTAATAATGTATAATAAAACAAAACATTAAAACTACTTGGCAATGCTGTTTTCTTTTTACAGTTCATGCATATAATTCCACGAGTACATACTCATCAACTTCATTCTTTTTGATGACTGCATAGGATGCAGTAAATATTCTTTTTTTTTTGAGAGAGAACTTCAGAGCTTCACTCTTGTTGCCCAGGCTAGAGTGCAATGGTGTGATCTCGGCTCACCGCAACCTCTGCCCTCCTGGGTTCAAGCGATTCTCCTACCTCAGCCTCCTGAGTAGTTGAGATTACAGGCACGTGCCACCACGCTTGGCTAATTTACTGTATTTTTAGTAGAGATGGGGTTTCTCCATGTTGGTCAGGCTGGTCTTGAACACCTGACCTCAGATGATCTGCCTGTCTTGGCCTCCCAAAGTGCTGGGATTACAGGCGTGAGCCACCAGGCCTGGCCATAATATTCCTTTAATATTCCTTTATTGATGAATGTTTGTTTCCAGTTTTCCTTATTGAAAATATTACATTAAATGTATTATATCTTTATATGTCTCCAGCAGTACTTCTATAAAATAAAAGTCCAAAAAGTAGAATTATTGGATCAAAGAGTATAACCATTGAAATTTTGATAGATATGGCCAAATTGAGTTTTTAAAAGATTTTGTCTGTTAACACTCATGAACAATTAAAATGTAAAGGTTTGGCTGCAGTTATTTTCTTAGGATTGACCAATAAAAGTTCAAAACAAATTAGATCAAAGATATACACATTTGAAATATTTTGGATAAAATAGTTTCTATTCCTTCTTTATTATTTCTATCCTTCCTTCTTTCCATTCAGCTGTCCACCCATCTATCACTTAGTTGTTTTTAATGCTCACTGTAATACATCAAACAATATAGGATATACAAGCAAAAAGCTAACAATTGTCTTCACCTTCAATCTCACCCTTTTGAGGCAACCAATGTTAACAGTCTGGCGTATTTTTTAAATGTCTTTTTTTTAAACCCTTATACAAACATATATGAACATATATACATTTTTTTGTTGTATAAAAACAGGATCACATTATAGATATTATTCTGTAACTTTCTGTTTTCATCTAAAGTACACCAGAGCCCTATTTTCCAGAAGCACGTAGTTCTAACTTATTCTTTCTGATGGCTGTATAATATTCCATAAAATGGATATGCCAAACTTTATTCAAGTACTTCACATTTTAAGTGGACACTCCATTTGTCTGCTATAATTTACAATTATATCAATACTTTGAGAAAGGTCTTTGCAAGTATATCCGTATGAACTAATGTCTATGTAGAAGAGACACTGGCTCAAATATCACGTACATTTAATGTCTTAATAAACACTGCCATATTATTTTCCAGGAAGTATGCAGCCATGCACTCTGTCACCTACCCCCATCTTCATTTGACAGCATTTTTTCCCACATCTTATCACCACTGAATGCTATTGATCTTTTCAATTTTTGCCAAACTGATGTGCGAAACAAGAGGGTATCTCATTGTGGTTTATGTTCATTACACTATTTATGAGCTGCAGAACTTTTTGTGTTTATTTGCTATTTTCATTCATTTCTTGTTTTACGAATTTTTTGTTCAAATTCTGCTGTAGCCTGGTTCTCTGAAAAACAGCGTGAAGCAAAGCTTAAGCCTAATGCTTTATATGAAGGTGCAGTATCGGCAACAGTGAGTGAGGGTAAAGCAAAGCAAAGCGGAGAAAGATGGTGGTGCATTACCAAGCTCGCCTGAGTTTCACAAGATGCCCAGCTGCTTCTCAGCATTCAGGAAGTCTCTGGACAGATAGAAGTGAAACACCAGGTTTTGGAAAAATCCACTGAAGGGAGGGATGGAAAGGGAATTTATCTGCCAGATGTCTCCCATACCCTTTTGCATTTTAATCATAGCTCCACATGAATCTAATTTCTCTCTGCTTGTAGAAAGTTGGACCACCTAGCCCTGTTGCAGCCACTGGGGAAGTCATATCTGTGTCTCTGCAGTGTTGTGCTTCATATAATTCAGAAGTAGCAGGGGAACCAGATCCTCTGGGCTTAGGCCTCAGGGTGGAACAAGGTGCCAAGAGAGCCCAAGAAACAAGTACAATCAAGAAAATCTGAGGCAGTATATATCATGTGGCCCAGGCATACCCTTTGCTCTTTTTGTCTATTACATTTGTAATTGTCTTACTAAATTGTAGAAATTCTTTGACTATTAGGGATAGTTATCCTTTGTTTAATATGTGAATTGACAGTATTTTCTCTCCTAATATTCTGCCTTGGAATTTTATTAAATATTTTGTAGTATTGAAATGTTTTTTTTTTTAATTAACAAACAACCATGGCATTATGAGTTAAAATTGCATTATATCTTTTAAGTTTTAATTTGGGAAGGAATAATATTTTAACTGTAATATACTCAAGTACTTAAATACAGTTTTTCTTTACTAGTTTAAATGGCATTTCCCCCAACCCCATTTCAATTTCCAATGAATTACTTCTCACACATAATGAAAACAACTCTTGGTTTTGGGATACCCATGTATTAAGTTTTAGTATGCTATTGTAGCACAGTATTTGTTGTTGACTTACCTAAACCCTGACCAAGTTTAGGTAATCACTGCTATTTTAGTTTTATCTGGAATTTTTATTAACAGTAGCTGCTAAATTTAATTAAATTGAACAGAATGTGTTTTTGATATCTATTAAACGAAATTTGTTAAAATCCTTCAATTCATTAAAGTAACTGATTATTGTTAAACAGTTTTCTGATATTGACCCATTCTTAACTCCCGGAAAGAATCCAAACTTGCCCTG